CCCCAAAACCCCAAAACCCCAAAACCCCAAAACCCCACATAAAGCCACTCAGGTTGGTAATAATATAAAATTAACAGATTATGGGGAATAGAACAAGTAAAAAGAAACAAAAGAAGAACCTTTTGGTTGAATTCGATGCTTCTGACATTAATAATAAAAGCCTGCTAGCTAACTTTTACAAAACCCAATTGATTGAGATCGCCGAAGAAATTGCAATCGAGCTTAAGCAAAAGAAGATTCCTCAGAAAAGGTTTGAAGCATGGAATAGTGTACTAGATTTCCATTTTAGAGAGCTTATTTGTTTCAGTGCTCCAATAGACTTTCAAAAATCGAATTGCCAAGCAGTTTGGGAGATTCTTGAGGAGAAATATGTTGATCTTAAAGGAAATAAATTATTCCCATTGTATTATTCTTTGAATACTCCACTCAAGAAAGAAAGCATGATCAACTTAGCAATTACACACAACTTATCCAGCCTCATTCTCAAGATGGTTGAAGAGCATCCTCAAGAAATGGTTCAGGTGTACAATTCAAATAAAACTTCATCAATGCTGCATGACTTAGCGTCAATTGATACATTATTCACACAAGATGAAATAAAACTTGCAGAGTGGCTGATAAGACATACAGACAAATTTTCAAGGAATATATTCGGACAAACATTTCTTGAAACTGCAGTTATAAATAATTCACCAAACTTTGATTTCCTAGCCAAACTTGCTTATAAAAATACCAAATGGCTGATTATCTGAGTCTTAGAGAAGTCTTCACTTCGCAAGAATCTCTACAGAAATGTTTTAAAATACTGTAAGACAGAGAAGCTTATCAGAAAGAGCTACTATAACATGACTAAAAAGCATTGACTATCAAATCAATTCTCATCTTGGAGTATGTCTCAATTCAAAGGTACAGAGTCATTGCTGGCCTATCACACTCAATTTTAATCTATACTAATACCCTTCTCCAGATGTATCAGGGTTTAAAATGCTCACTTATTTTCTTTGTTAGTTGAGCCTACCAAATTTTACAAAAATCTCCAACTAAAATTAGAGAGAATGAACATAATTTGAGGGGCTTTCTGCTGATTTTGATCCTCTTTTCAATCATATTATGATGTTTGGGGTTTTGGGGTTTTGGGGTTTTGGGGTTTTGGGG